GTTTGTGCACGTGTGTATGTGTGTGTGTGTGTGTGTGTGTGCGTGTGTGCATGTGATCTTCACGTTGGCTCGGAGGGTAGGGACCGTCGCTGCCCTGTGTGTGCATTTTGCATGTGTGTATGTGATCTTCACGTTGGCTTGGAGGGCAGGGACTGTGGCTGCCCCATTTTGCAGATGGCAGGGTGGAGGCTCCTAGGAGGACAGTGACGTCCCTGAGGCCACACAGCAATGATGGTGCAGCAGGACTTGTTCCCACGTTGTGAGACTCACAGGGACGTCCCCTTGGTGGCTGCCGAGGTCGCGGTGGGCTGAGCTTCGTCGGCCATGGCCCTCAGGCCTCAGCTTGCAGCATTTAGAAGGGTGACAGCCCTGATTCAAGACTCTCCTCTGTGACCCTTCCTTTCCCGTACGTCTGAACTTTCGGAGGCAAGGGACAAAAGCCCAGCTGAAGGTGGCCAGGCCAGAACAGCCAGGAGCTCGTGGCTGCCCTAGCGGGGACGAGCAGCTTCCCCAGGACACCACTGTGCCCTCTCCACCCTTCGGCTCTGCCCTCCTGCTGGCCGGCAGGCTCTGCCCTCCTGCTGGCCGGCAGCCTTCCGCCGTGTGCTGTGCCCTTGAGCTCCGGCTGTCACCCTTGCGCTCGCCCCGTAGGTCCCCCGTGGGGCACCTGTCCCTGACCCTCCCAGCAGCAGTCTCCAGCATGGTCACATGCTCATCCCCGAAACGGTCATTGGTCCAGGGGATGCAGGAACCTGACTGGCCAGGCCTGGGCTGCGTGACCTTTCCTGGAGTCTGGGGAGGGGTGTCGTTCCAGAGAGGACAGTTACAGCTGGAAGAGGAAGCGGGTGGGAGTGGACGGTCAGGACCCCCATCCGAGGTCTCTTCCTTTCCCACTCATCGCAGTCTCAGTGTTCTTCCGCACTGGACCATCCCGAGGTGGGGTACAGGCAGGTCACCAGGCGTCCCTCCCGCGGTGGTTTCAGGGCAGGACAGAGGGCTGTGATGATGGACGCGCTGTTTCCCCTCCTTACCCCAACCATGAGTGATGCAACCCAGCCTCTGTCAGGTGGCCCGTCCAGGCCTGGGTCCCTGTGGGGTGGAGGGGGAGAGCGGTTTGCATGTGGCTGGGGCCTCACAGACCCACCTCTGCCGAGCAGCTGGTGCAGGAGAGGGGAGGAGGCCCCATCTGGGAATGAAGCGGTGTCTTGCAGAGAGAGGGGAGAGTGGGGGGGCCTGGGGAGCCTAGTGAAGCAGCCCGCTCGGCCCCAGGCTTGAGTTCCTGCTCCTCTCTGGCCTCCCGTCTGTGGGGCTCTTGCCCACTCCTTGCGACGCTTCCCGGCGCGGCTGTGGTGGTTCCCCTCGGGGACCGCACCGTCTGTCTGTCCCCGGGAGCCCTCTGGCCCTCCCACCCCGGTCATGGCCCTGCTGGCTCTCGTCCGTGTTCTGCTTAGGTCTGGGAGACCTCAGGTTCGTCCTGCCCCGTGGCATGCCCTCCTCCAGAGCCTGGCCTTACCTGGGGTCACGCTGTCACCTGTGTCCTGCACAAGCCGTCCCAGGGCACTCATGCACCTTCCCCGCTGACACGCCCCTGGGACAGGCCTGGCCAGGGTGGGCCCCAGGTGCCAGGTCCTTTCAGAGTTCACCCCTTGACTCCGAGAGCCCCAGAGGCCGCGGAGTGAGGGGTGGCCCGAGGGTTTTGATGAGAGCAAGGCCGGACTGGGCCCTGGGCAGTGGGGAGGGGCAGCTGTCCCTTTGGCTGGTGTGACAGGTGCTGGCCTGGGGGGTCCTCAGACACTTTCGTGTCCCCCATGCTGTCAGTGGGCAGGAGTGTTGGCCACTCTTGTCCCCGGGGCCGCACGAGAGCCAGCTGCACACACCGACCTGTTCTGTCTGGTTTCTCACAGGTGCTTGTGACAGGGCGGCCTGCGAGCAGATGACCAGGACTACTGGCTTTTAATCCTTGGTGGCCGTCGAGAAAGCCTGTAACAGGGCCCAGGAGCCCCCACACCCCATCGACATGTCAGGGTCCACGCAGCCCGTGGCGCAGACGTGGAGGGCCACGGAGCCCCGCTACCCACCCCACGGCATCTCCTACCCGGTGCAGATCGCCCGGCCACACACGGTAAGGGCCCTGCTTCCCATCTGCTTGTGGCTCCTCCCTCCCTTCCTCGGAGGGGTGGGGCTGGCAGGGCTGTGGGGAAGTGGAGGCAGAGCTTGGGCAGGCCGCGGGTGGCTCAGGCCTCTCCCAGGCCCATCACAAACTCCCCGAGCTGGGAAGGAGGGCGGTCAGCTGTGTGGGGCCCCACATATCTCACCTGTGGGTCTCCCACTATATGCACCTGTCTCGGCCCCTCCTTGCTCTAGAGCTGGGGTGGCTTCCGGGGCCGTCTGTCACCCCTCCTGCCTTGCCGACCCGCAGGGCCTGGGGTTTTCTCTCCATAGGGGGCTCGTGGCTCCGAGGCAGTGAGGACCCTCACCCCTAGAGCCCATGCTGTATCTCTGAGCCCCTACCGTGAGGCCCGGGGTGTCGCTCTGCTCACTGGGGAGCCTCCCCGCAGTGGGGAGTGCTCGGACCTCCTGGGATCCTGCGCCCACACGCTTGTGCCCTCGATCGCTCCTCTGGGCTGCCTCCCCTCTGCACCTCGCTGCTGAGACCCTGTTTCCTGCCTCAGTGTCTGCTGCATGTGAAGCCAGGAGGCCAGGCCCTGGGTTCCACTCCGCTGGCAATGCTGGGGACCACACGTGTGTGCCCGAGGCCGGCTGACTGGGGCTGGGCCGATAGCGGGCTCTGGGTGCTTGCCGAGGGCTTGTGGAGTCCTGGGCGTCCTGGGCCGAGGGTGTGGGGCCTGGCGGTCACAGTGGGTGGAAGCTGGCTCTGGGTGTGCATGTGCAGGTGTGCCCCTCCTCCTGACACAGGAAGTGGCGGCGTTCCATCGTTGGGGATGTTTGCATATGCACTTGCTGGCCTGGCCAGGGGAGTCCCCCCAGTGGCCTCCTGGAGCTCTGGGCCCCTGGCACATTTCAGAGCCAGCTGCGTTAACTGGGTGTCCTGGGTCCCTGCTAGGAGCCAGCGCCCGCTGTCTGGACTTGCATCAGCAGCCCCGAGAGCGGCAGGCACCCCACTTAGGCGAGGCCCAGGAGGCTAAGCGGCAGGGAGGGTGCCATCGTCCAGGGGCTGGACAGTAGCATGGCGGCTTGGTGACGCTCCGCGAGGCCGACCCACCTGGGAGGTTGCAGGTCTGTGACCGGGGCTCTATGCGTGTGCCCGGGGTCGGGGCCGGCCGGGGCTGGCCGGGGGGGCTTGCACCCTGTGGGGAGTGCTGTCTTTTGCAGTCTCATTTGTTCATGGCATAAATAAACTGGAGGAGAAAAAGGAATTCCAAACCCGGGGAGCCAGGCCCTGCGGCACCGGCCGGAGCCCCGTGTCCTGAAGTGCTTGCGGGGCACCTGCGTGTGTGCTGGGCCGAAGGGCATGCGCTGGGGCTGCCGGGGGTGGCCATTGCCCCCATCACTGCCTCCACGTCGCGGGCACCCCACGGGCTGGGAGCTTCGGTTCAGCCTGCCTGCGCCGGGCGCTCCGGTGCCCCTTGGCCCCACAGCGGGAGGAGCGTTCTGCAGGTGAGGGTGCCAGGCACTCTGCTCGACCCCGAGCTTCGTCTTGGCCTCCGTGACGAGGCTGGGGTCGCCGGCCTGCCCGTCTCCTATGTCGTTATGAGGGTTAGAGTCACAGTGGAGTTCCCGGACAGTGCCCGGTCACCCCGCAGTGGGCACCTGCTGTCCCTCGTGCTTGTCCCTGTAGCTGCCGGGTGGGGCTGCCTCTGTGGGGTCCCTCGATGCCCAGGGCCCCAGCTGCTCTGCTTTTCTTGGCTGTGCCTGCCGGTTCCCCATGGGCTGGCCAGCGCCCTCGGGCTCCTGCCCTCCCGCCCTCCTGCTCTTTGCCTCGCTGGGCCCTCTCCCAAGCATTTGGGGTCACGGGCTGACCCTGGGCACCTCCCACTCTGCTGCTGGACCGTCAGTGACGCGGATGTGACTGGGTGGACCTGGTGGTCACCACCCTCACCAGGCGGAGGCTCAGGGCCAGCTGGGCTGCTGCGGGTTGGAACCTCTGTCCGGGTGTGGGGAGCTGGGGCCGCCTGTGTGCTCCGGATACCTGGCTCCCGCCTCCCGCTGCCCGCCGGGGCGGCAGCAGGATCTCCTCTTGTCACCGAGTGGCAGGGTCCGGAGCTCTGTGACTCTGGGAAGGGTCTGGCTGTCCCAGCTGCTGCCACCCTGTGACTGACTTGAGGCGAGTGTCAGCGGCTGGACCCGCAAGCCCCCCTCCGCCCACCCTGTGACTGACTTGAGGCGAGTGTCAGCGGCTGTACCTGCAGGCCACCCCACCCCCACCTAGTCCACCCCGCCCAGTGTCCCCGTAGACGAGGACAGTGCACCTATGACAGTCCTCTTCTTCTGGAGCGTTCAGTCTTCCTGGGACGGGACACAGTGGGGGAGATGGGGGCAGGAGAGATAGAAGCCCCACCTGAGAGCTGGTGTCCTGGTCCCTCAGACAGCAGTGGGTCTGGCGGGTCCAGGGGAGGGTCTGGACTGACTTAGGACCTTGCCATGCACCCTCCCCTCAGGCTTGCCTCTCGGTAGCACCTTTTGGTCCAGAGGCTTCTTCTGGAACACTGACAGCGAGTCCTCCCTGGAGCCTGGAAGAGCTGCAGTGTGGCTTTGAGTCTCGCTTGTCCCCGCTGTGCTGAGTGACAGTGGGCTGCTCGCCCGACCCCGGGAGCACCTCAGGTTCCCCATCTGTGGTGTAGTGGTGGGTCTGAGCTCTGGTCGAGGTTCGTGACGCGCTCGGGTGGCATCTGCAGGCAGTGAGTGCACAGTGGGCACCGGGCTCCTCCTGGTGGGTGCAGACCCACAGCTGCAGGACCTGGGCGCTGCGCCGGGCAGGGGGGTGACAGGCTGCAGCACTGCTGTCTGCTGGACCTGGGCTCTCCACGCCTCCAGGACGCACGAGTGGCAGGCTTTGCGTGGGCGTGCTTGCAGGCAGGGGCCTGGCCCCAAGACCGAGGAGAGTGCTCGGTTCCCGGCCCCAGCCTCGGCCATGCTCTGCATTGCACCTCGGCCCCGTCCACCCTGCAGCGTGTCCCCGTGCCCCTTGCTCTCCCCACGCTCCCCTTCTCTCCTCAGTGGTGTCAGATCCCACGTCATTCCCGGAGGGTCTCCCAGGGTTGAGGGTCCAGGAACGAAATGCCCACAGACCCGTGCCCCTCTCATGCCTGTGTCCTTTCAGGCCTTCAGTGCCCCTGCCCGATTCCGCCTTCTCTGGGTCCCCGGGACCTCCGAGCTCTCCAAGCTCCCCTAGTCTGTGGGCTGAATGGCTGAATTGAAAGTGGGGATCCAGAGGCTCAGCCCCGGCGCTGTCCCTTCTTGCTGTGTGGCCCTGGGCAAGTTTCTTAACTTCTCTGTGCTCTGGAGCCAGGCCGCCTGCACTCACCTCCTCCCACAGGGATGTCCTAGCTGTGAGACCCCTCCCGGTGCCTCGGTTTCCCCATTCGCTGAGCAAGGGGAGTCATGAGATAGCAGAGCCCCCGCTGAGCCTGCGGGAGGGCAAGCAGGCAGGCACGTCGTCAATGCCGGGGTCACAGCGGTGGGGTGCCGCGTCATGCCCCAGTGGCACCACTCGCAGCCTTGTCCGTGGGGCCGGGGCATGCGTCTCAGGTGTTTCTTACCGACGGGGCCTCTTCCCTTGGCTGTCGGGACGCTGGCACAGTGGGTACCTGAGGGACAGTGTGATGTGTGCGGCGCTGCCCCTGCCCGCTCTGGGCTCATCCGGCGGCACCTGCACCCTCAGCGACAGTGTGAAGGCCTGTCTGTGAATTTCTAGCCTGCCGCAAGTGACGTGCAGTCCTGTCACCTGGGTGTGACGTGCCCTGGAGGTCCTGACGCGCTCACGTCTTGGCCCCTCGTCACACTCTGGCACACGGTGGCCCTCTGAGGAGGGCGGGAGCTGCCGTGTGCCTGTGAATGTGGGGTAGTGCCGCCCCCTTTGTGACTGCTGTTAACTGAGGGTGTCGCCGTCACTCGGGGAGGCCCTGCTCCGAGTCGGCCTGGAGATTTCCAGCCTGGGTGCGTCCACGCCTGTGGTCACATGCCCCCCCCCCCGTCCTCCTTGCCTGTAGGGCTTCCAGGCATTCTCGGGGCCCTGGGCACTTGCTTCAAGCCTGTGGCCCCCATGAAACAGCTCCCACGGTGTGTCTTGGACGAGCTCCCAGAGTGGGAAACCGAGGCCAGGGGTCTGCGGCGAGGGCAGACCCTTGTCCTCCCCATCTGGCAGCAGCGGTGCTGGCCTGTGCGGCCCTGCCAGAGCTGGACTCCGCCTCTGCTCAGGAGAGACCGATGGCTGAGGCTCTCCCTGGCAGACTGTGGGCCTGCTGGTCTTTCCTTACACCATTGCACGTGTGTGCGTGCGTGTGTGATGCAGGGGCTCTGTGTCTGGCAGCCTGTCTGCGTTCAGCCCAGAGGTCCCCCTCCCTCCTCAGGTCCGGCTTCCTCCCTGGTCTCCAGCACCTGCTGTGTGTGTCAGACTCCAGGTGGGGAGGCTCAGCCCTGCCTGCCTCTGGACGGAGGAATCTAGAGAGGGGAGAGGGACTAGAGGTGGCAGGTGTGGGTGCTTCCTCCCGACGGTCGGTGTCCAGTCGGAAGGGAGGGGACAGCACAGTGGGTTTGAGGAGTGGGACACACAGGTGGCCTCGCCTGGTCCCTTGCGGTGTCTCATTTTGTTTCCACATGGGGCTGCCCGGGGAGCTCCTCTCTCCAGCCTTCCAGCCTGAGGGCTGCTGGCCCCGACCCCAGGCCTCTCCTGCGTCACCCCTGGGCCACACCTCCTGTGCGCTGGTTGTGTCCCGTCTGAAGCAGGGACCTTCCCTCTCACCTGGCGTGCTCTCTAATTCTCTTTGTAAGAATAACTGCCTAGGAAAGAGAGAACGAGTAGATCTTCACAGGGTACTGAGGGCATTAAGAAAAGGTGCCAAGAGGGAACCAGTGCTCGCCAGCCCCTCTGTCTGCAAGCTCACCCGTGGCAGACATCACTAACAGATCAGCACACTTGCACAGCCCAGTATTCCAGGCAGACAGAACTAATGGATTGGGATTGGGACACGAGCCTGTCTTGATTTCTTGAGAGACTTGTTTCTGTCTGTCCTTTTTTATAATAAGTAAAAACACCACTTACTACTTCCTTTTTTTTTGGGGGGGAGAGGGTTTTGCTATAGGGCGTGTGCGCTCGCCAGAGAGACAGAGAGACAAAAAGTGAGAAATCACCCCGAGGGGGGATGGCCACGCTGCAATCCCTTCTCCTCCATTCTCCTCTCGGGATCTTGGGCACGCACATGCACCGAGCATGAGTTTAAGCCACCGGGTCCGGGACTCGAACCGCTGTCCTACTACATGGGAGTCCAGTGACATAGCCATTATGCTAACTGCTGGTCCCACCGCTTACTACATCTCAGACCAGAGTGTACTCGGCAGTCAGGGCTGCACATTGGCTACGGTGAGCTTTGTCTCGGGTGTGCCAGCTGAAAGCATCCGAGAGCAGCAGTCTGCCCCTTGCTGACGCGCGAGGCAGCCTTTCCGTTGGTGCCGGAGTCCAGACGGGCAGTGAGGGTCCGACGCTGGGAGAGGACGGCGGGGCGGGGTGGTGGCCCTCTAGGTGGAGCTCCCCTCTGAGCTGACGTGGTAGGATTCCCTCTACCACTGGGCTGTACGGGCCTGGCCAGGTGGGGCCAAGGCTGGTCCTGGGGACTGCTCGGAGGCGGTGACCGAGTCAGCCAGGGCCGGCGTGCTATCAATGAAAGTGATGTACACCGTGTCTGTGTGTCTGTCCATGCTGCGTGCTTCTCTTCTGCAGAGGTGGGTGCTCATCTGTACCCCGTGTCCACAGTCCCGCATGCCGTGGGCGTGTGGCCCCGGCCTTCCCCAGCCGTGGCCCTGTGCGGCTGCAGAGGGGCTTCCTGGCCAAGGCTGTGGGCCCAGCAAGTCTGCGAGGGGAGAACTCGGCTCCACGCCTGCACGAGGGCCAACCAGCTGCGTGTGCTGCGTCTCCCATTGGCCTCGGGAGGCCGGCGGGACGTGGGCACGCCGCCTGGACCGGGAGCTGGGCGCCTGCCTTGTGGCCCAGTGCTGGGTGGCGGGTCCCCATGCACGCCTGCGCTCACCACCTCTGTCCCCTTGCAGGACGTCGGGCTGCTGGAGTTTCAGCACCACCCCCGCGACTACTCGCACCTGTCGCCCAGCTCCATCGTGCAGCCCCAGCGGAGGCGGCCGTCCCTGCTGTCTGAGTTCCAGCCCGGGAATGAACGGTGAGGAGAGGCCTGTGTGCCTTCTCTGGTGGAGACGCGGAGGCCTCTGGAAGAGTGGGAGCTCCTGGGGGCAGCTAGATGAGGGTGTCGGTCACATGGCTGGGACTCCGAGCAGCCAGGGGAGGAGCAGCGAGCAGCCACTGCCCTTCAGTGGCCTCGGGGGGTGTGGCTTGGGCAGGAGAGGGGTGACGAGCAGGAGGCTGGGGAGCATGTGTCCACAGCAGGCTCTCGGGTGGGCCTCTGTCTCCCTCCCATTGCCTCCTGGCAGCTGTCCCTGTCCCAGGTGGGGCTGGCCCAGCGCCCCTTAAATCCAGGTGGGACAGGAAAAGGCAAGGGCAGCTGAGGGGACCCAGGTCCTCGGGAATCTGCTGTGGAGCGTCCTGCCCGCCCCCCCCCACTCTGGGGAACTATGCCCATTTTCCCGACGGGACTGCGAGGTTGAGGAACAGCCCGTGTTTCCTCAGTTGGGGCTAGGATGCAGAGACCAGGCCGAGCCCTGCAGAGACAGAAATCACACTCTGCATAAATAATAATTAATGTGGTTTATTCTAAGCACCAGATTGAGTGACTGCCCGGAAAAGCACTTTCAGGGTGCTTAGACACAGCGATTCTTCTTCGGTCCCGAGAGCGGAGACGCCTGGTTTGCTCATCAGCAAAAGTTTGCTTGCTCCCAAGAGAATGGCTGCTCTCGTGAGAGGGTCAGAGGGCGTCACTGCGTGTCATACAGCACCTGCCAGGGACAGGGCAGGAGCAGCCCACGGCCAATGATGTGCGTGACTCCTCCAGGCCCTTGGGGAAGGATTTGGGGATCAGAAAGGATTTGGGGGACTGAATGTCACCCTCACCTTCACACACCATGTCCCAGTGAAGGACGCGTCTCTCCGGGAGCAGGCAAAGCTGGTGGAGGCTGGGCGGTGCCCAGTGCTGGTCGGTCTGCAGCTGCCACCACGCATAACCTTGGCCGGGGCTGGGGCTGGCTTGAACAGTAGGCGCTATCCCCACATGGTTCTGGGGGGCTGGGAGGCTGAAATCCAGGTGTCTGCTGCTGCATTCCCTGAAGGCTCTGGGGGGCCCTTCTCCTTCGAGCTTTGGTGGCCCCGGTGTTCCTTGACCTGCTGCCACACCCTCCAGCCTCTGCCCCATGAGACCTTCCTCTGTCCTTGTCTTGTCCTGTAAAGACCTCAGCGCTCAGTTTGAGCCGGGTGACCTCGTCCAAGGTGATCTCGTCCCGAGATCCTTAACCACTGGCATGTGCAGAGACCGTTTCTGAGTAAGGCCCTGTTCGGAGTTGTGCTCTGGGGGCACCATTCGGTCCCCTGCAGGGCCTTTTCCGTGTTTATATGGAAGAGCCTCGTGCTTCCTAGGATGGGACAGCCTGGCTTGGGACCCAGCTTTGCCAGAGGAGGACTCGAGGGCCTGGGGAGTGAGCAGAGAGGGAAGCGGCCTTATGCTCTGGGAAACCAGCTGCACACCTGCTGCGTGCCAGGGCCAGGCAGTGCGGGTCCCGTGTTCTGCTCTTGTGGAGCAGGCAGCGCCAACATGTGCTGCCAGGAGGGGTGGCGTGGCCAGTGGGAGCCTGCGCTGAGGACGACGGCAGACGGCGAGGGGTGCGGGTGCTCCTCAGGGGTGAGAGTTTCCCCCCTGCAGAGGCCTTGCAAGTAGGTGCAAAGGCCCTGGGGTGGGGATGCGCTGGGCAGGGTGAGCCAGGCCAGGACCTGGGCAGGACTGTGGGGACAGGAACGAGTTTGGATTTTACCCTAAGACCACAGGAAACAACGTGAACTTGAGAAGCGCTTCGGCAAGGGCCGCATCCAGGCTGTCTGTGGGCGGTGACTGGGGCCTGGATGGAAGATGCACCGGGTGGGCTTAGGAAGGCCGTGCCTGTCTGGGCAAATGGGCAGCACTAGGAGGAGCCAGTCAGGCGTGGTGGGACTGGCAGCTCCCGTCTGCACGGGCTGCTGGACTGAGTTGAGAGGGCGGCTGGGCCAGACTAGCAGCAGCAGTTCTGCGGTTGGCTAGTGATGTCTGCCCTGGCTGTGCGCGGGGAAGGTAGCTCGCACGCTGCTGTCTGCCTAGACCTGCAGCTTGTTTGGCCTGGGGTGTGCCTGTGGATCCCCTGGGGAGCTTGTTAAAATGCAGAGCCTGACTCGGCGGGTCTGAGTGGGATGCCAGTTCCAGGAGGGGCCGGTGCTGCAAGTCCACACACCAGCCTGGGAGACTGCTCAGTGTCAGCCCCGCACCCCCTTCCTATTGGTGCGCTCACGACTGTGGGTTTGCGGAAGACAGAGCTGCCTTGTCGGGCCTCACTGCGTAATGTGGGCAGGTGGGCTCTGAGGAGGCCTCCGTGGGATCACACCTTGGCCTGGCGAGAGGAGCGTGTGCAGCGTGGGGGCCAGGGGGCCTCTGAATCGTCCTCCTGCCTTAGGCCCTGCCTTCTTGCCTCCTGCAGGTCCCAGGAGCTGCACCTGCGGCCCGAGGGCCACTCGTACCTGCCCGAGCTGGGCAAATCGGAGCTGGAGTTCATTGAGAGCAAGCGCCCGCGCCTGGAGCTCCTGCCAGACCCCCTCCTGCGACCGTCAGCCCTGCTGGCCGCGGGCCAGCCTGGCGGCTCCGAGGACCTCAGCAAGGTAGGGCCTGGCCCCAGCTGGGGGCTCCTCTGCCCAGGGCAGCTCTGCTGCTGACCGGGCTGGCGGAACGGAAGGGGCAGGTGTGCAGGGAGATGTGGAGGGCTCCTGGGCAAAGGCTTGGAGGTGCCACCGAGTACAGGGTTCCGGAGGCTGGGCGGAGGCTGGACAGTGAGAGGAAGGTCCAAGGATGAGGTCTCTGGAGGTGCCAGAGGCTGAAAGGACTGGGAAAGGGTCTGCAGGTGGCAGGATGCAGGTGCACAGACCCTGAGGCACGAGCCAGCATGAAGCCACCATGGCTGGCCAGAGTAAAGGGGGAATGGGGAGTGAGGGCCCTGGGACCACAGAGCAGGTGCTGCTTAGCAGGTTTGGCTTGGGGACAGCACTGTGTCCAGCTTCCGCACGGACCAAGTGTCCAGCAGGGACTGGGTGTCAGCCTGTTGCTATTCTGGCCTGCAAGGCAGAGTGGGTCCACACCAACTGGGGTCCAGGTTGGGCCTTGCACTGGCCAGTCACCGTCGCTGCCCGCCTGGACGGTAGCAGTAGCCTCCTCCCGGCTCTCTGCTCCTGTCCTTGCCGCCGCCCCCTTCAGTCTGTCCTCTGAGCAGCAGCCAGGGGCTCTAGGGAAGGCAGAAGTCCGTGTTCCCCTGCACAGCCCTGTCGCTCGTGGGGAAAAGCCTGAATCCTTGCAGTGGCTTGCAGGTCTGGCATGATCCAGCCTCCTCACCTCCCTGACCTCATCTCTGTCCTCCAGCACCCAGCCCTCTCAGCGGCAGCCCTGCCTCAAACAGCCCAGGTTCCCAGCTCGGGGCTCCACAGTGCTGTGCCCTCAGCCAGGAGTGCCCGCCCCTCCATGAGCCTCACCTTCTCTTTCTCCTTCACGGGGAGAAGGCGACCCGGGTCAGGCAGTGGAGACTGGTCAGCCCCGTAGGGCCCTCCTTGTGCAGCTGCGGCTGCGTTTGCACCTCCACCTTGTCACCCAAGGGTGAGGTTCAGCACAGACGGTGCCCCCAGCCCGAGGGAGAACTGGGGCCCTGGTGCTCACAGCCTTGAGTCTGGCCTTGGGGCTGGTTCAGACCCCACACCCCCTTCAGTGCTGCACCTTGGGGTGGGTGGCAGGATGGGGCTCTAGCATCCCTTCCTGCCCCCCTGAGGAAGAGCCCTGGCCCAGGGAAGCCCCTGCCCGTGGAGGGCCTAAGGGAGCAGTTTCTGGAGACCTCAGGGGTCCCGGTGCCCTAGCCGTGCTGCCAGCACGGCGCTCCCTGCGCCCGGGCCGGGCAGTTCTCGGCCTTGTGTTGCCTTTGAGAAGTGCTCGCAGGTGGGGAATGGGCTGGTCCGATTTCAGGGAGGCCTGGCCCCCACCCCTTCCTCTCACATCCTGACTGTTCTGGTCGCCTCCAGACTCAGTATAGTGGGAGAGCTGGTGGTGAGGGGTGCCCTTTCCTGCGGCGGGACGTGCCAGCTGGTTCCGGGGTCCCTGTCTGCTGTTGCCTTACCCCGAGAAGTGACTGAGGCCATTGGAGAGACTGGCCCAGGCCCTTCGGAGTCTGTCGGGGCCAGGGGCGCAGGCATGCGATGTAGAGGCGGGCCGCCCCCGGGGCCCTGGGCGGACAGGAGGCCCGCGGCGCAC